GGAGCACCGCGCTGTCGGAGGCTCAGTGCTGATGGAGTGCCGCGCTGTTGGAGGCTCAGTGCTGAGGGAGCGCCGCACTGTCGGAGGGTCAGCGCTGAGGGAACAGGTACTGTCGGAGGGTCAGTGCTGAGGGAGCGCAGCGCTGTCGGAGATACTGTCCTTTGGCTGTGACATCTAATTGAGGCCTGGTCTATCCCCTCAAGTGGTATAAGAAAAAATTCGCCTTCCCCTTTTGTGGAAAGAGAGGGCAATGGGAGATCTCCCTGGGTTCCTGGGACTTATAGTTTTCCCTCAACTAATATCATTTTTGAAAAAAGATGACGTGGTTCATTCTGACAGTATGTTTACGAGAGCTTTCAGTGCGCATCTCATACTTTGCTAAGGTGATTGCAGTCGTCAGCACTGTGTTTCATTAGCTGCCTGCAGGGTGACCTGAACTCATGAACCTGTCTGTATGAAGACTAGTGTTCCTGCTGTTTTTATTGTAGGGAAGCTGACAGGAGACTGACCGTCCTGACGGGCCACCAACATTGAAACCTGATGCCCTGGGAGAACATCATTACACATCCATTCCCCTTTCCACCGGACCTGTCTACTCCCACCATTCCCATAATGCCTTCTCCTGCTTTCTGGGTACTATCCTCTGATTTGTCAGGTGTCCCCTCAGCTCTCAGGATCTGCCTTGGCATTTTGGGGCCTCAGTAACGTGGACATCCCCTGTTGGTGCATTTTAAAAGCTAGCAGGCATATATCTGGGGATGGATCTATATGTGTGTATGTCAGTATCTATGTGCATGTGTCTGTCTGTGATCCTGTTGAGAAATTTTTAATGATTTCATTGCATTTCAGAAGTGATTTAAACTGATGGCAGTGGATATGGGGTCTGTGACTTCCCCCACAGAGGGTGACAGAGCGGGTGTCGTGATTCCTCCACACGGTGATGGGACGGGGGTCTGTGTCTGTGACTCCCCCCCCCCACAGTGACGGGGCGGGGGGCGGTCTGTGTCTGTGATTCTTTCACACGGTGACAGGGCGGGGGGTCTGTGTCTGTGATTCCTCCTCATGGTGACGGGGCGGGGGTCTGTATCTTAGATTCCTCCACACGGTGACGGGGCGGGGGTCTGTATCTGTGATTCCTCCACACGGTGACAGGGCGGGGGTCTGTGTCTGTGATTCCTCCACACGGTGATGGGGCAGGGGTCTGTGTCTGTGATTTTCTACCCCCCCCACGGTGACAGGGCGGGAGTCTGTGTCTGTGATCCCCCAACACGGTGACAGGGTGGGGATCTGTGTCTGTAACTACTCCCCCCCCAACACGGTGACGGGGCGGGGGTCTGTGTTTGTGACTCCCCCACTTGATGATGGTAACATGTTGCTTAATTACAAGTTGTTATTTGATGTGGAATCCAACCTGATGCCAGACTGTGAATACATTGAAAGCATGTACTGCAGCCTGCGCCACTCCATCTGGCGTGTTTCAACAGTCCCGTGAGTTGTCTGATATCTGTTCCCGACCTACCTCTACCCTGTCTGCAGCTCCCTGCCTGGCCTGTTTGCCACTCACCCTTGTTCAATTGTGTCTGACCATGTGAGAGCCAGTTGTCTTGTTCCTGATTTTCTGCTGCACCTTTATGACTGGTACCCTACTGCGATTTAATCATCACTTGCAATCAATGGATTTTTCTGGTGTAATAAAGTTTGTACAAACGTGTTCAGTTGTGTTCATTATTCAACCGACGTGTAATCAAACCCTACACCAGCCACACGCAACCCCACGTGCACACGTAAATAAAAACAAGACATTGTGGATTCTTGAGATCTGAAATAAAATCAGAAGGTGCTGGAGAATCTCAGCAGGTCTGGCAGCAGCTGTGGAGAGAAGATCTAAACAAGCAGAGGCATCTTTTCTAACTTATTTAGAGTTATTCAAGGAAGTCTCAACCAGAGTGGATGGAGGCAAGCCAGCCGATGTGTTGTATTTGGACTTCCAGAAGTCGACTCAGTAGCTCACAGCAGGTTCAGTCATAAGATAAGGTAGTACATTGGTATGGATAGAGAATTGGTTCATAGGCAGCAAAACCGAGTGGGGAGGAGGGAGCAAGTTTTTGCAGATGCAGGGGACTGTACTAAAAGTTAAAAAAAATGCTGGAGATCAAAGCGGATCAGGCAGCATCCATGGAGAGAGTGTGTAAGCTCTGGTGAAGAGACATCTAGACTCGAAATGTTAGCTTGCTTTCTCTGCATGGATGCTGCCTGACCTGCTGTCATCCCCAGCATTTTTTTGGTTTCAGTGAGGATGAGGGATTCTTTACAAATGGTGACCTGTGACCAGTGGAGTTCCACAGGGATCAGAAATTGCTGACAAATCTCAGCAGGTCTGGCAGCATCTATGGAGAGAAATCAGAGTTAACATTTTAGTTCGAGTGACCCGCAGAACCGATGGTAGTTAGGAAAATGTTGGTTTATATGCAGAAGATAGTGTGGGGGGAGGGGCTAAGGAGTAAACGATAAGGGGGATAGAGCCCAAAGAGAGAGAAGAGTAGTTAGACAGACAAAGGAGTGGATAATGATCGGCCTGGGAGAATGAAGTTATTAATGATGACTGTTAGTGGCTAACAATGGGTTATGCTGCTTCAACTGGGCCCTTGGATACTGAGGAGCGAGGAAGTAAATGGGCAGGTATTATACCTTCTGTGTTTGCAGGGGCAGGTGCTGTGGAGTGTAGGGGGTGTTGGGAGTGAAGGAGGAGTGGACCAGAATGTTCTGGAGGGAATGGTCTCTGCAAAAGGCTGACAGGGGAGGTGGGAAGGGGACTAATGGAATATTGACCCTCATTTCAAGGGGATTGGCATATGAATTGGGAAGTTTTATTGTACAAGGTGCTGGTGAGACCACATCTGGAGTAGTTTTTTTCCATCTTATTTAAGAAATCGTGTTATTTAACTGAAGATAGTTCAGAGAAAGTTCATAAGGATCCCTGGCATGGGCAGGGGGGATTGTCTTATGAGAAGTCAATGGCCTAGTGGTATTATCACTAGATTATTAATCCAGAAGCTCAGCTAACATTCTGGGGACCCAGGTTCAAATCCCACCACAGCAGATGGAATTTGAAATCAACAAAAAAAATCTGGAATTGAAAATCTACAGATGACCATTAAACTACCGTCGATTCTTGGAAAATCCATCTGTTTTGCTAATGTACTTCAGGGAAGGAAATCTGTCATCCTCACCTGGTCTGGCCCATATGTGACTCCACATAGACAGCATTGCAGTTGACTCTCAACTGCCCTCTGAAATGGCCCAGAAGATACTCAGTTGTATCAATCCCTACAAATTCTCAACAAAGAAGTGAAACTGGATGGACCACCTGGCCTCAAAGTAGGCATCAAAAAAGACAACAGCCCTGTAGACCCTGCAAAGTTATCCTGTGGTTGGTGCCAACATGGTGAGAGCAGTTTCACAGACTACTCAACTAACAGCCTAGCATAGTCATACAGAATCATACTTTACAGACAATGTCCCAGCTATCACCATCCCTGGATATGTCCTGTCCAACCAGCAGGACAGACTCAGCAGAGGTAGCAGCACAGTGAGATGGAGTTACTCTAGGTGTCCTCAACATTGATTCCGAACCTAACGAAGTCTCATGGCTTCAGGTTAAGCATGGACAAGGAAATCCCCTGCTGATTACCACATACCGTCCTCCCTCAGCTGATTAATCGGTACTCTTCCATGTTGAACAACACTTAGAGGAAGCACTGAGGATGGAAAGGGCACAAAATGGACTCTGGGTGGGGGATTTCAATGCCCCCCACAAGAGTGGCTTGGCAGCAGTACTACTGATCAAGTTGGTCGGGTCCGAAAGGAAATAGCTGCTAGATTGGGTCTGCGGCAGGTGGTCAGGGAACCAACAAGAGGGAAAAACATACTTGACCTCATCCTCATCAATCTGCCAGCTGCAGCTTCCTCTGTCTATGACAGTATCAGTAAGAGTGACCATTGCACAGTCCTTGTGGAGACAAAGTCCTGCCTTCACATTGAAAATAACTTCCATCGTGTTGTGTGGCACTATCATTGTGCTAAGTGGCTAAAGAGAAGGTCAGAGGCTAGGAATACTGTAGCAACTTGTCCATGCCAATCACATATCCTAAATTACTCTGGTCCCATTTGCCAGCATTTGGCCCATATCCCTCTAAACCCTTTCTATTCATATACCCGTCCAGATGCCTCTTAAATGTTGTAATTGTACCAGCCTCCACCACTTCCTCTGGCAGCTCATTCCATACACGCACCACCCTCTGTGTGAAAAAGCTATACCTTAGGTCGCTTTTAAATCTTTCCCCTCTCACCTTAAACCTATGCCCCTCTAGTTTTGGACTCCCCTACCCTGGGAAAAGACCTTGTCTATTTACCCTATCCATGCCCCTCATGATTTTATAAACCTCTATGAGGTCACCCCTCAGCCTCCGACGCTCCAGGGAAAGTAGCCCCAGCCTATTTAGCCTCTCACTAGCTCAAGCCCTTATCATTAGGTTTGTAATTCCAGACTTCTATTGAATTCAAAATCCACGATCTGCCATGGTGAGATTTGAACCCAGGTCTCCAGAACGTTACCTGGGCATCTGGATTAACAGTCTACCGATAATACAACTAGGCCGTCGCCTCTCCTAGTCCATTCATAACATCTGCCCTCATCCCTTTCCCCACTCACTCCAAACTATGACAGGGTGTGTTTGTCCGTCCTCATCTTCCATCCCACCAGATTCCACGATCAAAGGATCATCCATCACCATTTCCGCAAGATGTCACCAGCAAACCTGGCACTGCCTACCCAATATTTTTTCTGTATTCCACAGGGACCATTTCTTCTGTGACAACCAGGTCCATTCAATAAGACCGTAAAATTCAGGAACAGAATTAGGCCATTTGGCCCATTGAATCTGTTCCACCTTTCAATAATGTCCGACATGATTTTCAACCCCATTCTCCTGCCTTTTCCCGTAACCCTTGATCCCTTTACTAATCAAGAACCTATCGCTGTCTTAAATACACTCAATGACTTGGCCTCCACAGCCTTATGTGGCCATCAGTTCCACAGACTCAGCACTCTCTGGCTGAAGAAATTCCTCCTCATCTCAGTTGTAAAGAGTCGTCCCTTCACTCTGAGGCTGCACCCTTGGGTCATTGGCTATCTTCAAGTGGAAACATCTTCTCCACAATCACTATCCAAGCCTCTCACTTTTCTGTAAGTTTCAATGAGGTTTCCCCTCATCCTTCTAAACACCATTGAGTACATACTCAGAGTCCTCAACTGCTCCTTATATGGCAAGCTCTTCATTCCTGGGATCATTCTTGTAAACCTCCTCCAACTCCAGCACATGCTCCCTTAGATACGGGCCCAAAACTGCTCACAATATTCCAAATGTGGCCTGGCCAGAGCCTAATACAGCTTCAGCAGTCCATCCCTGCCCTTGTATTCTAGCCCTCTTGAAATGAATGCTAATATTGCATTTGCCTTCCTAACTGCCAACTGAATTGTATGTTAACCTTAAGAGAATCCTGAACTAGGACTCCTAAGTCCCCTTGTGCTTCAGATTTCCAAAGCCTTTCTCCAATTAGAAAATAGTCTACACCTCTATTCTTCCTAACAAGGTGTCTAAGCTCACACTTTCCCACATTGCATTCTGTCTGCCACTTCTATGCCCACTCTCACAGCCTGTCCAAGTCCTTCTGCAACCTCCCTGCCTCCTACAGCCCTCCCTTCCACCTGTCTTTTTGCCATTTGTAGACTTACCAACAGTGCCCTCATTCCCATCATTGCTAACACTCATTTCCCTGCAATTGCAGAAGGTGTAACACTTACCTTATTTACTTCCACCTTCCTCACACTTTCCAGGTGAAACAGACTATGGTCTCCTCCACACTGGCGAGATCAAACACAAATTGGGTAACCGCTTTGCAGAACACCTCTACTCTGTAGGAATTTGATTTTGATTTGATTTGATTTATTATTGTCACATGCACCTAGGTACAGTGAAAAGTTTTGTTTTGCATGCAGTACAGGCAGATAATACCACAAAAAGTGCATGAGGGTCACGATGTTACAGCTGCAGAGAAGGTGCACAAGGAGCGAGAGCAACATTAGATTTGAAATTTGAGAGTTCCATTCAGCAGTCTAATAACAGCGGGGAAGAAGCTTTTCTTGAACCTGTGGGTACGTGTCTTTAAGTTTTTGTATCTTCTGTCTGACGGAAGAGGTTGGAAGAGATCATAACCAGGGTGGAAGGGATCTTTATCTGCCTTCCCAAAGCAGCGGGAAGTGTAGATGGAGTCCATGGATGGGAGGTTGGCTTGCATGACTGGACTTGGAAGGTTGCAGAAGGACTTGGACAGGCTGTGTTCACAAGTCTCTGCAGTTTCTTATGGTCCTGGACAGGGCATTTGCCATACCCAAGCCGTGATGCACCCAGACTGTATGCTTTCTATGATGCATCTGTAAAAGTTGCTGAGAGTCTTTACAGACGTGCGGAATGTCTGAATGACCCTGACCTTCCAGTTTCTTGCTATTTCAACACACCATCTTGTTTTCAAGCTCATCTTCCTATCCCCATCCTCTGTGTTTTCTACATAGATTTCCTCTTTATTCTGTAGTATTCCAACCAACCTATTTTGCACACTCATCCCTCTTCTGACACCACTCCCTTTGTCTTTTGTTGTGGTCACCCTCATCATTTGCTCCATTTCCTAGCCCCACTCAGAACCGAGATAAAGTCACTCAACTCAAAATGTTTACTCAGTTCCTGTCCTCACAGATGCTGTCAGATTTGCTGACTTTCTCCAGAACTTACAGTTTTTCATTTGAGCGTGAGCCCCTCCAGTGTTTTGGAGCAGAGTGGGACGTCCTACACAGAGTTAAGCTGAGATGGTCAGTGAGCCAATTATCATTTGTGGTAGGAATTACCAGAGCCTTGTACACTGTCCCCCATCAAACACTCCCAAGACAGGGATGGTCCAGGATTAGATACAGCGTAAAGCCTCCTCTACACTGACAGGAATGGGGGGATAGTGTAGAGGGAGCTTTACTCTGTATCTAACCCGGTGCTGTCCCTGCCCTGGGAGTGTTTGATGAGGGAACAGTGTAGAGAGAGCTTTACTCTGTATCTAACCCCGTGCTGTCCCTGCCCTGGGAGTGTTTGATGGGGGGACAGTGTAGAGGGAGCTTTACTCTGTATCTAACCCCGTGCTGTCCCTGTCCTGGGAGTGTTTGATGGGGACAGTGCAGAGGGAGCTTTACTCTGTATCTGTCCCTGTGCTGTCCCTGTTGGCATTACACCAACCATCCAGCCAACTGAGCTGAAGCACAATGCCAGCAGTGTGTACCCCACAGTATCAGAGTCTGATACTGAAATCTGCAATGACCTGTAATAGCATCATGACCAAGGATAGTAAACATTGGAAATGTCCCAGTGTATCCAATGATCAAGAAATACACCTTCATAGTCTGCTGCTTATTTCAGTGTCTGCTCAGGGAGGATGAAGAGTTAAATTCTAATTGTTCCACTTTTTATTTGCAAAGCTGGGTTGCTGTGGTTCCTCAAACCATACTTCCTAACCAGGACGCCTGCACCAATTGCTGCCATTGATTGTCAAGAGGAAGAGTGTGTGGTTTCACGTCACTGCGAAAGAAACCCAGTTACTTCTCGGAGCGAAACAGACAGAGAGCCATGAGCAGGATTTCTGCACCCAAAAAGTTGATGGACGTCTAAGGTTAGAGAATTACATTGGCTTCTGTGTGTGAGTGTGTGTGTGTGTGTGTGTCTGTGTGTCTGTGTGTGTGTGTGTCTGTGTGTCTGTGTGTGTGTGTGTGTGTGT